ACATCATCAGATTTGTTGTAATTTTTAAATATAAATTTACAATGTTCTTCACTTATCTTAATATGATTTTCCACCAAAAGACCTTGCTCTGCTTCAATCTCTTCACGTATCATATAGAAAATTTGTTTCGTGCATATACTAGCAGCATGTTTCTCAAGCCCTTGAAGAGGACTCTCTCTGACAGCAGGCTTGAATTTTTCTAAATCGTTTTGCTGACTAAGGAAAGAACTTCTTAACCCTTGTATTTTGCGTTCAAATTGATTTACAAACTCGGCAAAACTCATCATTTGAGTGACCGCAAGCTTGATCAATGAGTTCATAGATTCAGCCCTCTGAGTTGTACATGCCATGGCCATAAAATGTCCACGAAAATATGCCTCTGCCCACATCTTTTTTTTCTTGTACATGTCAATAACCCATGGCTTTTCTGCTACCTCATACATCTCAACCATGTTAAGCCAGCTTATCTCAAACTCATCAATGGAGCACGGTTCTTTCAATAATCTCATAAAATCAGAACAAAAATCTGCCACTTTTATATTTTGTCGAACATTTCTCCCAAGATGCCAACTACAAAGCCTATGTTTCGCTCCAGGAAATTCTGATGAAATTGCTGCTACCATAGATGAGTCCTGATCTGTTAACACAGAACCCGGAACTTTGCCATTCATTGCCTCAAGAAATGCTTGCAACAACCATCGATATGATTCAATTGTCTCGTTGTACATAAAAGATGCACCAAAAATAAACGTTGAACCGTGGTTGTTGGTACCAGAAAAAATAACCAGAGGATAAAAATACTTGTTTGTCTTATATGTACTATCGAATATTAAGACATCGCCAAATATTTCATACTCAGCCCTGGAAGCTCCATCGCACCAAAAGAGTTTTGAAAGTGCCCCTTGGTCATTCACTGTGTATTTGTAAAAAAACTCACTATCCTTTATCTTCATGCTTTCAAATATAGCTAATGACGTATTCACATCACCGCCTTCGATTCTTTTTAATCGCATACTGTTCAACCAATTGTAACCATCCTTTCTTGTGAAAGACATTTTTCCAACACCTCCAGCAAGTTGCTCCAACAAATCCATAGCTTGACACGGCCTAAATCCGGCATCTGTAATTAAATTCAGCATACACTTGTCGGGCATTGAAATGTACCTATTAATAGAATCAAACGATGAACTTTAAAAAATTGATGCAAATAACAATAAAAGTTGCGACTAAAATAAACTAGTAGATTTTATACCTTTTCTTGTAACCTCGTAAATCGTGATTATGTTGACGCTCAAACTTTGTCACTGAATAGTGCCCTGAAAAACGGTCATGTGCAACACGAAAGCATGCTATACAACCACACCTGGTCACAACTTTTGCCTCTCGTTTCCTAGTATAGTCAGCTTTCGGTCGTCTGCGGAATCCCTCGCATGCGCACACCCATTCCCTGTACTTTATGATGTCATCCGCGGTTTTACGTTTTACACCTTGTTTCCTAATGCCAAAACCAACTACACCGGCATACAATGTGTAAAATTTCTCTGCATCATCAAGACTTTCGAATACTAGTTGTCTAACCGCATCCTCATTGATATTCTCAAAATTGAAATCAACTGAATCACCTAAATGATTTATACCATGATAGTTCATATCATCATGCTTACTATCATCCATGCAATTACTTTCGTCCTTATTAGAAGGTGAAATTGGTTTCTCATTTTCAGTATCAAAATCCATACCTACAAAATATGATTTATAAAAAAATAAAAATGAAAGCAAATCAATAAAATTTCTAATAAGAGAATTTTTCATTTTCAGTATCAAAATCCATACCTACAAAATATGATTTATAAAAAAATAAAAATGAAAGCAAATCAATAAAATTTCTAATAAGAGAAAAAATAATTTATAGCAGATATTTATTTATAATTTATAAATCAAGAGAGTTGGAAAATGAACCACTACATGATTCAGCAGAACATTGCCGCCTATGAAGAGATAAGGGGCATATATGGGCGGATTTGGTGCATTTTTTTTACTGTGATATCCCAATTTTACATTTGCTCTGCCTTCTTTCCAATAAAATAAATATATAAAAGGAATTATTAGTGTTTACAACATATGATGAATAGGAAAAGAACCAACAATTGATTATATTTCTATTTCACATTCCTACTGATTGATTACAAGAGTGGAGGTCTACAAATTCAAGAAATCAATTACGATGAGTTACACATATTATTGAAGATCATGTAAGCAAATCTCTACTCTTTCGAAATTATAAGCATGACGATATTACTATAGTTGATTCAGATTAATCTGGTAATCCAGTTGCGTATAATTGATCAACCAGAGAATCCAAATATCAGAAACAATTTCACATTTATGAGCACTCGTCCAAATAACAGAAAAACCCAAAAAAAAAAACAAAAGTTTCGTGATCCCGAGTTTGTATATTTATAGAGCATGTAAATAATTCACAAGGCTCAAACTCAAGTATCAAAGTACAAAAGAAAAAAAAAAAAAGTTAACGACAAAAGCATTTAAATATCTTAAATGGCAAGGCTCACTTGAAATTAAAATCTTAATACGAAATTTAAATTCAAGTATCGAACTACCACAAAATAATTTTATTCAAAAATAGCAATATCACATGTTTTAAATACTTAGTGATATATGCAACAGGGCCAAAACATAATAAAATACAACAGAATTGATTGTGAAATCGATATAACCAATAAACTATGAAACAAGAATTTACATTCGATAACCCGCAAGGGTGGCCTAGCGGTTGGAGCAAGAGAGCTTGGGTCAATTGACCCAAGTTCGAATCCCCTTGCCAACGGTCGCTAGGTCGAGCTTGTCACACATGGTTAGCCTAGTGTGGTTTACATCTCTCGTATGGTTTGCAAGCTATTATACGAGAGTGTAGGTTTACCCAGTGCACCTATATGGTTGGCTGCGGGTTCCTGCATTATCAAAAAAAAAAAAAAAAAAAAAAAAGAATTTACATTCGATACTTACCAAATTACAGAGTTGGATCTTTCGAAATCCTCCTCGTGGTTGACGGCCTCACTCTGGCGTAGTGGTGCCTCGAATCTCAGACGATGAATCTTGTTGTTGAAATCTCACTCTACCCAAAGAAAAGATCTCCAGATATGACCAATCGTCGGCCGGAAGAAAAGACGGCCGGTGAGAGAGGAATAAGATGACCAATTGTATTCAGAGGAACACCCCACTCGATTTTCGTCTCGAATTTACCCTCAGGCACCTGTTTTATAAGGCCAATCAAAATTTAGAACATAAATAAATCTTGGTTAAAAAATTGTAAGGACAAAGTTTTTGCCTGCTTCAACTGCTTCTGTGTAAGAGACGGATTTCAAATCTTCCGTGCAATTTTATAATATCCATTTGCAAATAAACTTCAAGAAGTTAATTGCACACTCCCTAGGATTCTAGAAAATTGCACCTATATTTATAAGTAACATGCATGGAATAATATAATGTACAAATTAAAAATTAAAATAAAATTAAAATTAAAAAAATAGATCTCAATTTCGGAGAAAGCCATTTCGATCTCAACCTTCCACATCTCGGCCAACAATTTCTCGAATCAGATCTCTCTGCACGAAATCTCGACCCGAAAGAGTAAACATTCCCAAGGGCAGAAGCATAACTTTCCAAATGCATTCGTCCCAAACTCGTTAATTACGTCATGCAAGAAAAGAAATTTTCACTTTTTTGGACAATTTTTCCCCCATGTTTTCGCCTTTGTTCGTTAGCTTCCAACTGTGAAGCTAACTCATTTGTTTCCTTGAGGTCATGAATAGCAACAGCAAAAGCTTCTTTATTGCTTTATGTTCTTCCGAGTTCTTCGATTTTCTTGGTTTTTTTTTTTAATGAAAGCCTTTATAGTTTCGAGTTTTACACCTTCGGTTTTGTACTCGTCTGTTTCTTGATCATCTAATAAAAAAATTGTCACTTGGAATTTTTTATCACCTAATCCATCAGAATTGTTTGTTCTAGGGGAAATTAGGGGAAAAATGATAAAGTTAAAGGAGAATAGAAGGCCAACAAGGCCAATGTATTTGATGAGGATAAAGAATGATGGAGACAATTAAACTAGTTGAACAAGAAAGGCAGACCCCAATATTCTCTTGCCCACTCAAATGGCCATTCCATTCAGAACTTTTAGCAAACAGTTGTTGTGCATCACAAAAGTTCACACGATCAATTAAGTAACGAATTACAGAGGCTTGAAAGTGATAATAAAAAAACAATGATTTTGTTCAAAACACAATAAACTTAATTGTGAAACGATATAACGAAGCAAATCGAAACTAAAAGTTTAAATCCAATAGTTACCAATTTCAGGGTTGAATCTTAGCGACCCACCTCACACTCTGGCATACGCGGTGTATCGAATTTCAAGATGAATTTCGTGGATGAAGGGTCTCTGCCGAGAAGAGATGTTGAGAGCGGCTCAATCGTCGGCCGGAAGAAGAGAGGAGACGGGAAGAGAGGGAGAAAGGTTCAGAGGGATGAACGCAGGAACATTAAATATTTTATGATAATTATTGCTTGTAATTATTTTTAGTGATTAATTATTAGTTTATAATTAACTTTTAGTTTTAGGGGTTTTTATGTAATTTAATTTATAGGGTAGGCATCGTACATTTTTTACTGGGTACGTACTAATCCTACTTGTCATATTCTTATTGGCTGATTACGGTCCGAGAAGTACAACCCTCTCGGACCCTAGACAACCCCTACAAAATATATATATAGCAGCTTAAGAAAAGAAAAAAATGTCAGCAAAGATTGAATTTAAATACTAATTACCTATAGCAGCTAAGTAACGACAATTTCAATAGACTGTACTTCAGTCGCACCGATTCCGTAGAAAATACTTGTGTTGAAAGTATCGACTTGTTCGACACCATCAACTTTGGCGGTAAACCTCAAATACAATATATAACCCGAGCACATAAGTCGGTTTGCGCTGATTACGTCGACCACATTGTATCTTATCGACTACACACATAACAGAAAAAAAAAATTAATAATTCATTAATCATCAAAATGAAGAAGAAAAAAAAAAACCATACATGTTTTTTGTTGAAATAATCAATTGCTATGCTGGCAGATTTTTTGAGACGTTCTGCTGATTCGGGATCTCGATCTTGAACGTCGGGGGAATCTTTGTCATAGACGAGACTGGGACCTCCACAGGTTAACCTCTATAATATAATAGAATCAGAATAAATAAAATTCTATTAATTTAACAAAATATTAAATTCTCGATCTAATAATTTAGTAAATTGATAGAATCATAATTAATAAAATTATATTAATTTAGCGAAATATTAAATTTTTGAACTAATAATTTAGGGTAAATTACAACCATCTCCTGAGGTATGATCAATTTACAAAAAAACCCTTCTTGTTTGGATAATTACGTCTACCCCTTAACTATGAATCTTCTCTTACACCTCCACCCTTATGGTGTTGAATTCCACATAATCATCTAGATTCCGTGGAATGTCCTCTAGTTTGTACTCGTTTTGTGCAAAAATACAGTTTCTGATGCACCACAATTTGATATATACAAGCCAAAAAACACATATTATGATTATCTTGCTTCAAAATGTGGAATTCGAATGAGATAAAATGGGTACAAAATTGATAGTATTCCGTATAATCTCGAAGATTCCACTAAATTTGAAATAGCAAGGGTGGATGTGTAAAAAAAATTATAATTGAGGGGTTTCGTAATTTAACCATACCTCAAGGGTGGTTGTAATTTACCCAATAATTTAATATGTACTCTTTGTCATTGACAAGATTTGGACCTCCACAACTTAACCTCTATAACTTAATAGAATCAGAGCTAATACAATTTGATTAATTTATTAAATTATCGAACTAATAATTTAGTATGTTTTTTTGTGTAAGGATCGGAAGAAATTGAAAAAAAAAATATTTGAAGGTAATAAATTATTAGAACAAGATAACAAATAAATTAAAGAAAATAAAGAGAAACATACACGAGGCTGAGGTTTTAACTTGTATAAATTGTCCTTTTCCATAATTTCAAGCTGTCTGCGTATCTTATTGATTGACTTCTTCTCCTCCGGGTTGACTTTCTCCAATTTATCGACTTGTGTGCGTATCTTATCGATATTCTTATTCTTCTCGCGATAATTTGGTTGCTCCTCCAATTTCTCGAGTTGTTTGCGTATCGTATTGATCCGGTTTTTCGTGGCCGGATTTTTGGAGTCGGCGGCGGTGGACCGCTCCTCCAATCTTTCGAGTTGTCTGTGTATTATCCGGTTCGGATTTTTGGAGGAGTCAGAAGCCATCTCTTCTCTCTCGCGGCGGCGATGGCGGCGGCGGCGGTGGCGGCGGAATCTAAGAAAGCGCTAGTCGTTTTCTCCCGTTGGTTTCTCTTAAATCTTACATCTCTGTCGTCTTTATGCATAAAGAAATTTTCGAAAGAAACCCTAGGGTCATTTTCGTAAATTTTGGTAGCCCTAGGGGAATAAATTGGTAAAACTACAGTTTTCACCCCTCAAGTTTGCACCGATTTCAATAATTTAACGTTTTTTGTCATTTTCATTAATTTACCGTTAGTCTGTCAGTTAAGTCATTGATGGGCATAGGCTTGATTCCGTTAGCTTTAATAGAAAATTGACGGAAATGACTAAGATGACTAAATGTTTGAAACATGAGGGAACAAATATGTTTTCTGTGAATATGAAGGACCAAATGTGAAATTGGTGCTAATGTGAGGGACTAAAACTATATTTTTCCTAAAATAAATTATAAAAGAGCAAACATGACTTATCGAAAAACAAAAAAAAAAAAAAAAAAAACCTATATTTGGGAAATCTTATTTTCAAAATCAACTAAAATTTTGATTAACTATATGACATTACATTAATAAACCTTTTTAATAAAATAATAATAAATATAATTATATTTAATTAAAATTATGAAATCCATATTCGATTATGTGAATCGGTATTCAGTTACTTCCCAATTTTTTTTCGACCTATATAAGTGGCATGTAGAAACCAAAACTGAGAAAAATAAACATATTTCAATCACCGTTGATTATAATTGGAGCAAATGAAAAATAACACCATGATCAAATACATTTTGCTATGTTTCATTATATCAATTAACTCTTTTCAAGCGTATGCGTGTTTTTTGGGTAAAAAAGTTTCTTATAGTGTTCACGTTGTCAATAATCTCCCTCCAAATACGGATCAACTAGTTGTACACTGTGCATCTAAAGATGATGAATTGGGATACCATAATATGACCACCAAGCAGGATTTTCACTTTCATTTCTGTAAAAAACCTAAAGCGACGTTGTTCTTTTGTCATCTCTGGTGGGGCAATAAAAACAAAGCTTTCGATGTTTTTAACGCAAGATGGGATCCCGATACATGTTATTGGGAAGCGCAAGGTGATGGCATTTACTTTTCAGGCACCTGGCCACCGGGAGATTTAGCGAAAGCGTATAATTGGGAATAAAAAGTTACAATTGTACACACTCTCTGTAATAAATATGAATGGCAAATATAGATATGTGGATTATAAAAGTTCATAAGTGATTTTTATTTCAAAGTCCATTTTTTTTTATCAATAAAGTGAAGTGATTTTTTTTTTCTAAATTACATTTTTTTTTATCAATAAGGTGTTAATGATAAATTTATCTAAAATTTTGTAAACTTGTTAATAAAATTACATATTTAATTTGTATTTTCAAATAAACAATTAACAATAAATTGTTCACTCAAAACAATATTTAGTATTATGGAATCCTAATTGATTTTGCAATTTAGTACACACATACAGTTGGTTTTGGAGACATATGCAAGAAAATATGCATGATGTGTTTTAGTATTTTTAGTACTGGATCGATATTTAATTCGGTTATTTATGCAGAATATCAAATTTGAATAAAAATGTTCGGTTCCTGAAAAATAAAAAAGCCATCGGGTTGACATTCAGGACGGTTCAAAAGGGTTTAATTTTCGATTTTCGATTTTTTTTTTCTCACCCTTAGATCTTCTTATAACTCAGATAAAAGATTTTGCATGTAGGTCAAAATTGAACAGAAAATTAGATGGGGTTGTTATATGCAATTTATCAATTGAAATGAATATTAATATATTTATTTATATTTATACTTTAATAAATTATTTGCCGCGTCAACCGTTGGCGCTAAACTTCGCTATAACCGAAAATCCATAAAGATAAATTTCTTATTACAGGGCCCAACTGGAAAATACAAAAAAATTCCTCAACGGCCCAGCAACAGTGCTGTCAACTAACCTGCGCCTAGTGCTCACGTTAAGCTTTTTATCCTCACCTAATCTAACGTGCGCGGCAATCGAATTGATCCCAAATCAAAAACCTAGACCCGCGTACCCAAATTCACACTCGCTCTCTGTTGACCTCTCCGATACAATTGAAGCTACAGGTATTTTAAATTCTTCATTAATTTTATCAATTAATCCCCCCCCATTCGCAAATTCTGGTTATTTTTTCTCGATTTTCGGTTAAAACAGTTGTTCGGAGGTTCAATGTAGTTTTATTTCGCCGAAGAAACACTCGTGAACTGTTTTATTTTATTTATTTATTTTCCTCACTCATAATTGTTCTGTTTTCTTGTTACTTTGTGCTGTCAAGATTCAAATTTAGGGGGCCAATTGTTCGGTGGTTATGGTTTTGGTATGAATTTTCGAGTGGTGTGATGAAGAATGTGGAAATACCTAATTGGCTTGAAAAGTTGCCTTGGGCACCTGAATTCCGACCAACCGATACCGAATTCGCGGACCCAATTGCTTATATATCGAAGATAGAGAAAGAGGCGAGTGCATTCGGTATATGTAAAGTGATCCCACCATTGCCAAAGCCTTCGAGAAAATATGTACTCCACAACTTGAATAAGTCACTCTCGAAATGCCCCGAATTGGGTTCCGATGTAAATCTCGTCACTTCGCCTAAGACAGATAGTTCCGATAGAACTGTTGGTAGTGGGGAGAGTAGGGCTGTTTTCACTACACGGCACCAAGAATTAGGCTGCGAGAAAATTAAAAAGGCGAAGGGTACGACTGTGGACCATGTTGTTGGTGCTAAGAAGCAAGTTTGGCAGAGTGGGGAAGTTTATACGCTGGAGCAGTTCGAGGCGAAGTCGAAGACTTTCGCCAAGAGTCAACTCAGCACGGTGAAGGAGGTGAACCCGTTAGTTATCGAATCCATGTTTTGGAAACAAGCGTTGGAGAAGCCTATATATATTGAGTACGCGAACGATGTGCCTGGTTCAGGGTTCGGCGAGCCCGAGGGAATGCTGCGGTACGTCGATAGACGTAGGAGGAAAACTAGAAAGAGGAACTCGTTCGATAGGAATAGTTTTAGTAACTCCGATAAAAAGAATGACGAAGTAGATACAAAGAGTAGTGTTAGAGGTGATACTAATCGCAATGTATGTACAGAGACGAAATCGAACGACGGGGCTTCTTGCTCTGGTCGAAAAGAATTTCAGGGTAGCGCTGAGGTGGAAGGTAGTGCTGGTTGGAAACTTTCGAATAGTCCGTGGAATTTGCAAGTGATAGCTCGTTCGCCTGGATCTTTGACGCGTTTTATGCCCGATGATATACCTGGTGTTACTTCTCCAATGGTTTATATCGGGATGCTGTTCAGTTGGTTTGCGTGGCATGTCGAAGATCACGAGCTTCACAGCTTGAATTTCCTTCATATTGGCTCTCCCAAGACTTGGTATTCTGTGCCCGGAGATTGTGCTTTCGACTTTGAAGAAGCGATTCGTCTTCATGCTTATGGAGGAAATGCCGACCGGTTAGGTATGATTTAGACGATACTTTCAATCGTTTATTTATTTATTAGTGGCACTACTGTTTTGTAACTTACACTTTTGAATATGCATTAATATGTGGCTGTTGTCATATAGTCTGAAATAAGTATAGCAGCGTAAAAATCTGTTGACAAAATATACTATAATTTTATCCGTAAAATCCATTGTTCTCAGGGTATAAAAATGTTGCTCGTGATACAGTCAAATTGTGCTTATCAATTCCCGCTTTTCAATGTAAATAGGAAGTTCGACTTCTGTAATAGCCCAGCATAAAGTAAAACAAGAAATTTGCTTCGATGCATTCACATGCCTCGACAGTGTTCAAAATTTCTGATTGTTCGTATTTCAAACCAGAAAATAATCAATATTCCTCTTGAAAAGTACTTATTTTTCGTAGTGTAATTGTTGGGCGGGTTATGTTTGTCATTTGAAATTTCTTGTTTGCAGTTCCGGGCAGAAAACAATAAAGCAAAACCTGTAGCTTTGAATATATGTCAAAGTTTGCTGTACTTTTTTTTTAAACTCCGATGCAATTTATTGTGATTTCAGCTGCTCTATCTCTCCTAGGGGAAAAGACTACTGTTCTATCTCCTGAAATTTTTGTTGCATCAGGCATCCCGTGTTGCAGGTAGGTGATTTTTTGGTGCAATTTCTGCAATTTTTTCGTCTAATGAAAAAAATATAGCTAATCTGCAAATTATTATTCTTGTAGGTTGGTACAGTATCCAGGGGAATTTGTTGTGACTTTTCCGAGAGCTTACCACATCGGATTCAGCCATGGTAATTTCTTCTTGCTTTTACGGCATTTGTGTAGAAAGGGCATATTTTCCTTATTGATTATTTATTTATTTATTTTGGCAATTGAAAATATAGGTTTCAATTGTGGAGAAGCTGCTAATTTCGGAACACCGAAGTGGCTTACAATAGCTAAGGAAGCTGCTGTTCGTCGAGCTGTAATGAATTATCTTCCCATGCTTTCCCATCAGCAACTGATGTACTTGTTGACCATGTCTTTCATTTCAAGGTCAGTGTACTGGAATTTTATTATACTTTCTCCCGATAATTGCAAAAGTTAGATAATGTAAATTCACTTTCACATTTTGTTATTTGAACTGTTTGATTTAATATTGAAACGAAGAGATATTCTTGATAAAGTCTCAGCACTACTTCCTTGATTGTTTTGAATGGATGGTAATTGAATTATGTGAAGCTTGTTAAATTAGCTACGTACCAGAAATTCGGCAAGTTAACTCAACGTGTATCATTTCTTTAATAGATAATGGTATGTCATTTTGATCGAATCATAAGCTTGTTATACTCGTCTTTTTCTAAGTTATAAACTTGCTCACTCAGTTTGCTTTCAGTCCGTATTGCTGTTTTTCTGCATTAATGATTGCAATACTATATCTAAGCTTTATTTTTTATGAAATACAGAATACCAAGATCCTTACTGCCAGGTGTGCGAAGCTCGCGTTTGAGAGACCGTCAAAAGGAAGAGAGAGAGATATTAGTAAAGAGAGCATTTATCGAGGATATCTTGCATGAAAACAGGCTCGTGAATATTCTCCTTCGCCGAAGCTCCTCTTACCGTGCGGTACTGTGGGATGTCAAATCAGTGTCGTCTTCGAGTAAAGAATCAGGAATCTGCAAAGATGCTGATCCTGTTGTCGTAGTGACATCAGCATCGATGGAAAAAGATTCTCCCGGTGATAATAGTATTATGGGTGATGTTAAGAACCAGCTAAGTGATTATATTGGTGCGGTTGGTTATGATATCAACGATGATGACTTGGCGTATGATTTTCAAATAGAATCGGGGACTTTACCATGTGTAGCTTGTGGTATACTTGGATTTCCGTTTATGGCCGTCGTTCAACCATTTGTGGATCCTCTTGCAGTTTCTGTGGGACCTACTTTGAAGCATGAAGATGTTTCTTCGGAAATGGATATTGCAGAGGGATGGAATATCTCTAATGTGTCTCTAAAACCGAGGATATTCTGCTTAGAGCATGCGATTGAAATCGAAGAATTGTTGAGTTCGAAAGGCGGATCCAATGTTCTTGTCATCTGTCATTCGGGTAAAATATATCCTTCGTTTTAAAGTATGAATGTTTGAGTTTATTGCATTTCGTACCCTTGTGTTATATGCATTCTTTTAGCACGCCGTCACAACTTCTACGTATGTAAACTGTTTCTCTCGAATTATAAAAACACGAGATATAAAGAATAAAATAAATATACTTATTGCTCCGCCGCCTTTGTTTGTTTCTAGACTTTCAGAAAATCAAGACTCATGCTGCAGTGGTTGCGGAGGAAATATCGATGCCTTTCTGTTACGTCGAGATTGCACCACTAGTTAACGCTTCCCCCGAAAATCTGAACTTGATCGATATTGCTATCGGCAGAGAAGAAACCGAATGTGCCGAAGACTGGACCTCACAGTTGAGCATCAATCTACAGCACTGCGTGAAGGTGAAAAAGTGTTTCCCATCTAAGAATGTCCAGCATTTGTCGAGTTTGAACGGTTTGTTTTGTGATGCAACTCCACGTATTTCAAATAAATCGAGCGTTAAGTGGCTATCGACAAAATTACGCACAAAAAGTCGCCAATTAAAGCCTCTGTTGAAAAATAAGCCATCTGTTGAGAGTGAAACTGCGGAGGAGGTTACGGAGAGAGAGGAGGAGCAAAAGATATCGGAGAAAATTGTCGAAAAGAAATTCATCCAATACTCGAGAAAAAGATACAAGGCTCGTGTTGTTGAACGAGAGATTTTGGGTGCTCAAATTGAAAATCCGGATAAAGAAGATAAAATCGTGGAAGTGAATATTCTTTCCAGAGTTGATAATTCAGTCGAAATAGCCGATGTTGGATTGACTTCAGCTGAAAATCTGATAGACTGTGCTACTACAGTGAAAACAACTTTGGGACAGGAAGAAGAAGCAACAATGGATGAATCTGTAGCAAGCGATGACGTGGCAGTACACGAGTGTGGAATCCCGTCTGATGGATATGAAGACGCGGTTAAAGAAGCTTCTAGAAGTGGCGGCTCCTCCTCAAACGTGTCAGTTTCGGAAGGGCAGCAGTGTATTCAGACAGGTGAAGCTATTTCAGAAACACTGCAATAACAAATGAATCAACTATTGAAGAAGTCTCTTTTCGCGAAGAATAAAATCTCGGATAATTCGAAAGCACTGCAAGGAGTGAAGCACCAAAGGAAAGAAAAAACAGTCCTCGACTAGATCAGAAGATCGATTCGACGT